TTTTGGGTTTTTTTTTGTTGTTGTTGTTTGGGGTGTTTTTTATATTTGTGATTGAAAGTCTAACATTGTGCTTTAGGGCACTTTGGCAGCAAATATAGGGTCATTTTAAACATTTTCAGGAGTCCTTCAAAGAAAAACACACCCGAAGCTGTGTTCATTTCGTAATGCTGTTCGAATGTGTAAGGAGCACAGGTTGTTTCCTTTATTATGTGCCCACCATTTTTTGTGGTCCATGCAAATGAAAATGTCTATTTCATTTCTCGACTCAAATGTTTTTGTTGATTTCATTTTGGCAGAAAATTTGTATTAAAATTGTATGATTTCAAGTTCAGTTTGTTTTCGTGATAAACCTGTTCCAAAAAGTCTGACTAAATCTGACCATCATACGAGTATTTCCCATAGGAAATTGTGTAAATCAAATTGATCCGTTCCATACGCACACAAGAATATTCACAAAAAATACATTTCATAGATAACAGCTAAAGCTTTAAAAACGATTTGAATGGTGACTGACGAAGTGATTAAAGCATTGCTTTTACCTTTATTGGCGACCCTTGTCAGCATATATAGCTGTGCTACGTGAAATTTGGTTGACATGAGGATCACGAGTAGACCCACAAAAAAATCCTTGCCACACAAGACATACCATGTCCACCATTTTGGTTTGAGACACCCATTCAGGAGTAATTCCAGCAAATCCTTTTGGAAAAATTCATCACTCCAAGTCAGTTCCACTTCTATCATGAGTAGAGCCACAAAAAACTCTCAAGAAGCCATGCCTGAAACACACAGGAAGTCTACCATCTTAGTTTGAGGTGGCCATTTTTGGGTCATTTTGTTTTTTTCCATGGGTCCTCATAGCCAAATGTGTGAGTTTTTGTCATTGCGTGTGGGTGTAACATGGCAGCGAAGCTTGACGACTAGCCATAAACTACCCCAAAAGTTGGAATGGATTTGATCTCTGAGCACCACGGAAAACATTAGTGTTGCAGCTAAAGTCGCTAATTGTCATGTGCTTTAAAAAAAAAAAACGCTGGCGTCTTCCATCTTAATCAATGTCTAATGAGAGTAATCACGCCATGATGGTCGTGACATTCTATGGGAGAGAAGGAAGTGCCTTGCAATCGATTAGCGTACCTTGGCACCCCGCCGTAAAAAATCCATTGTGACATTTCCATGTGTGACTCTTGGACGTCGTTGTGACGGCGTCCCTGTTTGACTAAATATCTATATTGACACTATTTAAATGTAGTCACCTTCAATACACCAGAATCAGCCTGTTATTGAGAAAGTCATTAATAACGAGGAGGTTGTGTGATGTCTCAAGCGAAACAGGCCTCTTCATTAGGTACACACGTTCACATCATCCACAGTGAACCAATATCCCTGAGATTGATGAAAAGCTTTGATTTCGTGAGTCCATGCCAATAACGTTTTTTTTAATGTGTAGCTTTAGTCCTCAAGACTCGCTTTAACCACATTTTTAATAAAAACACAGTCTTTCAAGTGTTCTTTAGTACCTGTTGTCACATTCCCTCGCACAATTTCTCCAAATAAGAGATAAAATGTTGAAAACGGATGGATGTACTTGCTTCAATCAGTTACTTTCTCACTTTCAGCTGAACTCGTGTAAACCTGACCCAAAACAAAAGAGAATTGAATATTGTGTATCTAAACACAAAAATGTTCAACCAAATAATTTTGTCTCCGAAATGTCTGATAGCTTAATGCTGGGCTTATAATGGGAAACACTTACGAGAGGCTAATGGAAATTAGCATAAATGTTATAGCAACTGTCAACCTAACAACTGCTAATTTAACACTCACAAAGCAGCAACACAGACAGTACAAAATGAGCACTCAACAATATTCACATGCATTTATACTCGATGCTCTTTTGGGAACAATGAATATTAAAACAGCAAGATGAATTATGAGCTAAATGAATTCTGCCATGAGTGCGCCAAACAAGATTTTTTTTTCCCACAAGCACATCGTAAAAGGTCTCCCCACAGGAAGCTTCTTTTTGACCTCAGATCGATGACCTAGAAAGGGCATTCCCCCAGCGTGCTTTGTCACGCACCAGCTTACCAACCCCCGCGATCCCTCCATCCCAACCCCCACACCCAACTGCCCAATCAACAGGGGCCCGGCTGTGCGTCACATGATGTGTTGGCAGATCCACTCATACTTCTGCAGCAACTGTCAGTCAAGATGTGGGAAAATCCTCCTCCTGAAATCACATCTCCACGCTGCTCAACCACCACCAATCCCGCCTCACCACTTTTCGGACCTTCCATGCTGCCTTGTAGAATCAATGCAGGTCTACTTGTTAGTGGTCTGGATGTTGTTTAAGGTATATGAAGCGTTTATGAGCAAAGTTGGAATGAGATGAGGCATCACGTCTGCACACTTGGACTGCTTTTTATTTGCGAGGCTAAACCCAATTAAGATCCAGGTTCACTTAGCAACATGACATTTGGTAGGCATGTCTGTGAGACACCCATTCAGGAGCAATTCCAGCAAATCCTTTTGGAAAAATTCATCACTCCAAGTCAGTTCCACTTCTATCATGAGTAGAGCCACAAAAAACTCTCAAGAAGCCATGCCTGAAACACACAGGAAGTCTACCATCTTAGTTTGAGGTGGCCATTTTTGGGTCATTTTGTTTTTTTCCATGGGTCCTCATAGCCAAATGTGTGAGTTTTTGTCATTGCGTGTGGGTGTAACATGGCAGCGAAGCTTGACGACTAGCCATAAACTACCCCAAAAGTTGGAATGGATTTGATCTCTGAGCACCACGGAAAACATTAGTGTTGCAGCTAAAGTCGCTAATTGTCATGTGCTTTAAAAAAAAAAAACGCTGGCGTCTTCCATCTTAATCAATGTCTAATGAGAGTAATCACGCCATGATGGTCGTGACATTCTATGGGAGAGAAGGAAGTGCCTTGCAATCGATTAGCGTACCTTGGCACCCCGCCGTAAAAAATCCATTGTGACATTTCCATGTGTGACTCTTGGACGTCGTTGTGACGGCGTCCCTGTTTGACTAAATATCTATATTGACACTATTTAAATGTAGTCACCTTCAATACACCAGAATCAGCCTGTTATTGAGAAAGTCATTAATAACGAGGAGGTTGTGTGATGTCTCAAGCGAAACAGGCCTCTTCATTAGGTACACACGTTCACATCATCCACAGTGAACCAATATCCCTGAGATTGATGAAAAGCTTTGATTTCGTGAGTCCATGCCAATAACGTTTTTTTTAATGTGTAGCTTTAGTCCTCAAGACTCGCTTTAACCACATTTTTAATAAAAACACAGTCTTTCAAGTGTTCTTTAGTACCTGTTGTCACATTCCCTCGCACAATTTCTCCAAATAAGAGATAAAATGTTGAAAACGGATGGATGTACTTGCTTCAATCAGTTACTTTCTCACTTTCAGCTGAACTCGTGTAAACCTGACCCAAAACAAAAGAGAATTGAATATTGTGTATCTAAACACAAAAATGTTCAACCAAATAATTTTGTCTCCGAAATGTCTGATAGCTTAATGCTGGGCTTATAATGGGAAACACTTACGAGAGGCTAATGGAAATTAGCATAAATGTTATAGCAACTGTCAACCTAACAACTGCTAATTTAACACTCACAAAGCAGCAACACAGACAGTACAAAATGAGCACTCAACAATATTCACATGCATTTATACTCGATGCTCTTTTGGGAACAATGAATATTAAAACAGCAAGATGAATTATGAGCTAAATGAATTCTGCCATGAGTGCGCCAAACAAGATTTTTTTTTCCCACAAGCACATCGTAAAAGGTCTCCCCACAGGAAGCTTCTTTTTGACCTCAGATCGATGACCTAGAAAGGGCATTCCCCCAGCGTGCTTTGTCACGCACCAGCTTACCAACCCCCGCGATCCCTCCATCCCAACCCCCACACCCAACTGCCCAATCAACAGGGGCCCGGCTGTGCGTCACATGATGTGTTGGCAGATCCACTCATACTTCTGCAGCAACTGTCAGTCAAGATGTGGGAAAATCCTCCTCCTGAAATCACATCTCCACGCTGCTCAACCACCACCAATCCCGCCTCACCACTTTTCGGACCTTCCATGCTGCCTTGTAGAATCAATGCAGGTCTACTTGTTAGTGGTCTGGATGTTGTTTAAGGTATATGAAGCGTTTATGAGCAAAGTTGGAATGAGATGAGGCATCACGTCTGCACACTTGGACTGCTTTTTATTTGCGAGGCTAAACCCAATTAAGATCCAGGTTCACTTAGCGACATGACATTTGGTAGGCATGTCTGTCATGAGTAGACCCAAAAAAAAAAAAAAAAAAACTGAAGAAACCAAGCCCCAAAAGGAAGTCTGCCAATTTGGTTTGAAGCGTAAATTGGGGTTTGGTAGCACCCAGGGATTTTTTTTCCCAGCTCCTAAAACCCGAGTTACATTTAGCAACAGGAAATATCGGAGGCATGCCTATCATGAGTAGACCCACAAAAAAAGCCTCAAATAAGTGTCTGCCATTTTAGGGCTAATTCCAGTGACAGACAAACTTGTGCTAGGGATTTCGTCCAACTGCTACCAAATTTGAACCTAATGTACTTGACATATGGGAAAAGTTTGACTCATCGCCACAAAAAAAATGTAAATGCTGTAGACGCTACAACAAGAATGTTTCGAAAATTCAGCTGCTGAAGCCAGGTTTATGTACCAACATGAAATTTGTGAGCCATGTCTACCATGATTAGACCCACCAAAAAGTCTCAAAAAGACATGGGGAGTCTGCAATTTTAGCTTGAAGCGGATGGTTTAGAGTCATTTTGGCCATTTCCAGGACTGCTTCAAAGGCTTACTTCCTGCAGGGTCGAATCGGTCCCAATACTGTTGTTTTATCGTGTAGTGCGGTGCCTCTGATGATTCTGTGTAACCCAAACTTATGTCTCTCTCTCTCTCCCCGCTGACCCCATGTCCTGGTGTAGTGGCGTTTCACGGACTGCAGCTGAAGATCAAGAGGGAGCTGCACAGTCCGTGTTCCGAGCTGAGCTCCACCTGCAGCCAAGAGCGGCCCTTCAAGCTCCAGTATGGAGAGAAGTGCCTGTACAACGTCAGGTCCGTGCTTCCTTTCCTCACCCTTCGCATCAAACCTATTGCCGCCTTGCACTACAGAAATAACAGCGAGAAATGCTCTTAAAATAACACGTATGTAATGTGTGTGCCACAGTGCCTACGAGCAGAAACAGCACGCAGGTATGAAGCCCTCCAGTCCGGTGACGCCCCCCTGTAGCACCCCCGTGTCACCCCTTCATCATGCCGCCCCGACGCCCAAACCCGAGCGGACCTACGCCCACGCTCCGCCTTCCATACCCGACGCCGCCTACGCCATGGACCACAGGTACACTTTGAACATTAAAGCTAGCTAGCCCGTCACTGAAAATAGCAACTACAACTTGCTAGCCTTTTGTGGCTAATAATAACAACAAAGACATCTAATACAAATAAACCCCACGTTGAATGGTTTGGCCCGGTGTCGGAATCCAAAAGTCGTCCGCCATATTGAATGTGTCAGCGCTGCCAAATCGACTAATGCAAGTCAATGGACTCAACTTCCTCACCTACAAAATGTACAATATTAATGCCTCTATTCAACAATTCACACACATTAATATAATTGTAAACAAAGAGGAACCAAAAACAGTGCATCTAATGTTTAATCTGATGATTCTAAATGTTTACTCCCACGTGTAACGTTCCGGGATTGTCCGGATTGGAGTGGATCCACCACACACGTAGACAAGCGCCAAAAAGGGTTATTTACAAACAAAAACGCAAGACCGACAAAGTACAACTAATGACGTTGGTTTCAACAACCACTGAAAAATGACCCCAACCAAAAACGCTTACAAAAGGCAACGGAAATAGTTTGAGGAGCAAAATGTATAAGGTACAAACCGTGACTAAATATGTACACCAAATGCCACTACTTCGATGAAACAAAATACAAAAAACAAGGCAAGAGAAAAACGCAGCAAAATTAGGAAACATTTGGGAAAATTGCCCTTAAAACAATGGCTTGAGCAAGGCGAATTATCCGACGCTGAATGGTCGGAATGACGTTAAGTTGTCCGTTGCTGATGAAGAGTGACAGGTATGTAACTGGATAGAAAGGTCCGCCTCCGCCACCTGCTGGAGACTAACAGAAGCGGAATCATGACTTTTCAATATTGATCAGCACAGTAAGTACTACATACAGCACAACATAGAGCATATATGTTTTCGTGAGTGTTTTCGATGTTGCCATAATAATAAACGCTAACCATAGATGTATAAGTTAGCAGTTATAATCAAAAGTCATTCTTGATCCCATGAGATTTGGAGTGTAAATGGCCGATCAGCAAATAAATGAGGCATCTCCCCAGTGGGTTACTTTCCACATTCAATATGGTGGCAATCTTTATGTCCGATTTGGCACCGAGGCGGGGTGTATTTCTATTTATTGTCTAAGTTAAGCACAATATGTTAGCATTGATGGCTAACACTAGCGAAGATGGTATTTTTTTCAAAAGTATTTTGTCAATCAGATTCCGCCGTCAGCTTTCTGAGCCGTGCCACTCGTTCCCGTCCCCGCCGACCATGTCCCGGGATGCCCGGCCCCTGTACCAGCGTCAGATGTCTGAGCCCAGCATCCCCTTCCCTCCTCAAGGCTTTAAGCAGGAGTACGCCGACCCGCTGTTCGAACCCCATCCCGCCATGATGGGCGCTCCGTTGTCCCACATGTACCCCGCCGCCATGATGATCAAACAGGAGCCCCGGGACTTCAACTACGACTCAGGTGAGCAAGGGTCGACTGCACGAATGGCAAAAGCGCTCGCACTCTGTACAAGTACAGATACTTGTGTCCAAAAAAAGAATACAGTAAAAACACAATTACTGATTCAGCTCCTCTACTTTGTCAGTAAAAATAAAAAAGTAAAATTAGTCTCGAATTACTTCCCACTATTGCTAGCATGAATTGGGAGGGAAAGAAATGGAGTGGAGTTGATTAAGTTTGCCCATTATTAGGCAAAGGGGGTCTGGCGGACTGGGTGTCTGTGGCGGCAGCCATTTCCTGTGGCGTGCTAATAAGGGAGTGGGCGGAGGTTACGACTGGTCAACATTCTCAGTCCTACGCTCTAATTCTGGAGAGCTTCCATTAGATGCTACATCCATTCATGATTTTCATTTCCACACACAACTTTATACCTCCCAAATTTCTACAGGCGTTTTTTTTTTTTTTTAACCATATCGTCGCATGTACTTAGGGCCTCCGATGGCACAACTACTAACAAACCTTTACATGTCATTTGACCAAGGCAGAGATGTTGACAAAAGAAGGCAAATGGCTTCAATGATGATTTTCGGCTTTCGCCTCTACCGTCGTAGTTTGATTGTGTGACGTATCAGTCGAGAAGATGTTGAGTGAGGTAAATTGCAACATTTCATCAGGTAAATTGATTTTAAAATACACCGGGTGGTAATTCAGACCGTGAACATGATTAGCGGAGGAGCTGGCTATTTCATTGACCTTTCTGTTACGTGGATTACCGGCACACATGAAATAGCGTGTGATAGAGCTGACATTAGCCGTTTGCTAGCAGGTGAGTCATTACACTTTGCTAAATTACTTAAATATAACACATGCAAACATTTATAGTACAAACTGTGATAAAAATTGCTTCCGCAAACCTGTTGACCCAAGTCTTGTTCCAAAACTATCACAAGACTGATGAGTCAACGATCGTGATGAGGAAGTAGGTAAAGCTACATCTGTTCGGAATCAATCACTCATTCCCCACTCGCGAATTATTGCCCTGTCGAAAGGAGTTTGAATGGACTTTTTGGTGACATGTTGACAGCAGGACAGGATGGTATGGAGGGGTGCGGCTAACAGCTAATGTGATTAGCGACATTTCCGCCACGCGCCCATTAGCCTGATGAAGTTTGATGAAGACTGAACGGTCATTTTGTCTTGCACTGTCATGCTATCGCACAATTAAGCTATTAGCTCCTCATACCATAGAATGCTAACATGTTTTGCTAAATTACATCATTTTATCATCAATACTCTCATGCTGATATGTTACAATAGCATAATATTCCAGTAAATGCACCTACCGAGGTTGTTTTTGTCGGCTCTCCCAGACCTTGTCAGCTTGTTTTATCGTCTTCTATTACCCGGAAGCATGGATCAGCGGTGTGATATTACCAACTAGGCTACGAGGTTCTTGTCTGTTTTGGGGTTTTTTTTCTTTTGATGCAGCCTCAATGGTCTTTTTTTTTTTTTTTTTACACTTTTTGCCTGGCTTTTAGCGGAGGTGCCCAGTTGCCATTCGGTCTACCTGCGCCAAGATGGCTACCTGGCCCACGCCAACAGGACTGAAGGTACCAGTTATGATGTTTGTAGCCTTGACAACAAGAACAACATTTCCAATGCTCCTTCTCCTTGTCCAGGTTGCATGTTTGACAAAGTGGCCAGGCACTTTTACGATGACACCTGCGTGGTGCCTGAGAAAGTGGAAGGTAGGCACTGTGTTCACGAGATCATCTGAAGACAGAAGACCATGCGTGATGCAGTTCTTCACACGTGAGCCTACTCCTTGTCTTCAGGCGAAATTAAGCAGGAGGCCGGACTGTACCGTGAGGGTCCAGCCTACCAGCGGCGAGGGTCTCTTCAGCTGTGGCAGTTCCTGGTGGCGCTTCTGGATGACCCGGCCAATTCGCACTTCATTGCCTGGACAGGCCGCGGCATGGAGTTCAAGCTTATCGAACCTGAGGAGGTGAGAAGAGCTTGTGAGACTCATCAGAAGATTTGTTAAATTGTTATTTCATTGAGCGTATCGAACGCTGAAGGAATCCTACAAAATATTATTCAGGTGGCATTACAGCATTATTATGTTGTTATTTCAATAAATGGGGTTGAAAGTCTAAAAGATATGATAAATGATAATGTTTAAGATAAAAATGGGATTACTAGCCATGATGCAAATGTGCCAGAACAGGCTGCATGATCATATGAACAGACATCTGATGAAGCAGCATGTGGCTCATTGTCCAAGGCGATTTCTTGAACTGGAAAGACAACTTGGGTGTTTCCCATTGTTTATTTATGACAGTAATCTAGAAAATAAACACTCAAAATGGCTGGTAGTACATCAGCTGTCTGTTTGGGAGGCCGGGTGATTGGCGGGCGGTGAGGTGGGCGCTACGCCAGACAGGTGCCGCAACATCTGCTTCCTCCTCGGAGTGTGGTAATGAACGCCAACCACCCCAGTCACTGCACTACAGTACGGCCTAATCAGCGTCATTAGCGCCGCGTGGACTCTCTGCTTTGTCACAGCTGCTGAGTGTCAGCCATTGTTGTCGCTAAGTACGCATGTGGGTGTATGCCTGACATAGGTGGCACGCCGATGGGGTATCCAGAAGAACCGACCGGCCATGAACTACGACAAGTTGAGTCGGTCGCTGCGCTACTACTATGAGAAGGGAATCATGCAGAAGGTAAGTAAACATAAACAGAGAAACAAACAAACAAAAACAAAAAATAAATATGAGTAGACCGACCCCAGATACATGCAGTGCAGCAGCACATATAGACAGACAGTAAAAAAACTACTGGCTTATATTCTTTATATATGAAAAACGACTATTACTGCAGCCTACTGAGGAGGTGAGACCATCTCCATGTACTGTAAATCCATATGTATACTGCCCCCCGGGTGGCCAAGACCTGAACAGCAGAAGGAGCAGCACAATGTGCACTGAGTTAAAGTAAAAAATGTGGCAAAAACTCTTTCGTTTCTTTAATCTTATAGTTTTCTGTTTTGTTACCAATAGTAATTTTTTTTCATGTGTATTTGTTTCTTTCAAATGTTCTTCAAATTGGTGTATATTTTTTACTCTCATATTTGCGTAACCCCCCCCAAATTCTCATCTGTGTGCATTTGTATTCCTAATTTCCTGTTTGTGTATTGTTCCAAATATTTTTTTCCACAATATTCTGAGTTTATTTCTGTTTTTTAATTTGTGATTTTTTTCCTCTAAATTTGTGTATTGTTCTTCTCATATTTGTTTACTCCCCACCCTCCAAATAGTTGTGTATTTTTTTTAGCTGATATTTGCATATTTTTTTATTTCTTAGTTCTCTCTTTCCAAACATTTGTGGATTTTCTTGCACAGCATGTATATTTTTGCCTCTTTTTTTCATCCAACCTTCAGGCAATTTTTTCTTATGTCGTCAATCTATGCTAATGCACTACTATTAATAACACGACTGGTTTCAGGTTTGTTTAAGCTCTGCCAGAGAAGCTAAGGATGTGAACTAAAACTAGTTGGGTGTCGTGACGTTTCAGAACGTGACCAGTATTTCAAAACAACTTTTATCACCCCCACCATCCACCCTCCGTCACAACCTTCCACCTCTCACCTCCTCATCCATCCATCCATCCATCCATCCATCCACCCATCCATTCATCCATGGCAGGTGGCGGGCGAGAGATACGTCTACAAGTTTGTGTGCGACCCGGAGGCCTTGTTCTCGATGGCGTTTCCCGACAACCAGCGTCCGGTCCTCAAGAGCGATGTAGAGCGTCACGTCAACGAGGAGGACACGGTGCCCCTGTCGCACTTTGACGAGAGCGCCCCCTATGCTCAGGAGACGTCCTACTGCCAGCCGCACCCCTACAGCGAGGCCTACGTCTACTAGACTGAGGGACAAAGCTCCAACTCAAAGAGAAATACTTGCTCCCTTCTTTTTGTTTGACGCGGGTATTTCAGGACCGTCCTTGAGATTTTTCCAATTGCGACAACATTTGAACTACCTACAGTTAAATGGAAAGATGGGTGATACTGAATTGTGAAACATTTTTCTTGGCCGGAGTGTACTTTTTTAGGTCTTTAAATTCAGCCTCAAAGACAGTTTGACTTAGCAGATGGAAATTTGGAACAACAAAAAAGTCTCAACAAGATGTCCAAAAAGGACACAGGAAGTCAGCCATTTTGTTTTCAAGCGGCCATTTTAGGCTCATTTCGGGGGTCCTTCAAAGACTAACCTGTCCGAAAAATTTTGACCTACAGCTGCTAAAATTCAGCCCACACAAAAAAAAAATCTCAAAAACACAGGCCTGAAAATGCACAAAAAGTCAGCCATTTTGGTTTGAGGGGGAAGTTACCCATTTTGGTTTGAAGTAGCCATTTCCAGAGCTCCTTTTAAGACTTAACTTGTCCCAGAGAAATGACCAATTCAGTAGACTATTAACAGGACGCACAAAAATGTCTCAAAGACCCCAAAATTAACCATTTGAATTCAAAGCAGCCAATTTTAGGGAGAATTTCCATCAAAAAGAGGTGTTGAAAGTGACACCGGTTCCCCTTACTGACATAACTGGGTGGAAAAGCCCCAAGAGCCCATATTTGAAAATGAACAGCAAGTCAGCCATTTTGGGGAAAATTCCAGGACTCATACTGTCTTAACTCCAACTATGGAATTTGCCCAAATGAGCTCAAATCCAAAGCCAGTAGGCCACCCTAGACAGTTAAGCGATCCTAAATTTCTGAGAAAAAAAAAATTGCAATGCCGTCTTATGTGAACAAAGCATGATGTCAAAGTTTGAGAAAATATTTTGAGGATTCTTCATGAAAAAGAGGGCCCATTCATTCTTATCTTTCAATTATTATCATCATCAACATTATTTTGTTGACGTGCACTTTATGGACCCTGACGGCTATTTGGCGTTGTTTATGTTTGTACATTGTGTTTTGTTTAAAAAAAAAAAAAAATCTGAAATTTTAAGATAACTACTTTCCAGCATGCGTCACTTCATTGAGACTGGACTCCCCATGGCCAGGTTCAAACTTTGGTTCTGGATTTTGGGGAGTTTTAGCAAGACTACTTCCTGTACGTGTGCTCATTTGAAGACATTATGGGCGCTGATTTGACTTTTTGGAGACATTGAAAGGATCAAAAGACGTTCGGACAAAAAAAAAAACAAAAACACACGAGCAAGTGGACCGATGAACTCATGAACGTCAACGAACTGACTGGAAACTTCATTTGGAACCCCCTTTATCCCCCTCCAGAACATGCATCCTACTGTTTCCAATGCTTTGACCCTCTTGTTTAGCTTATTATAAATATCTGTCAACCACAATAATAAACAAACTGTTCAATGACTACTTCTTCGAGTGTTATTTTCCTAATGAGACTATTGGATGCCATTAGGTGGTGTGAGTGGACCTAATGAAGCGTCTCCCACCCGGATTTTCGATTTTGACCCTTTCAGGGACAGCGGTTACTACGGTGGACGGCTTATCGTGTTATCAGGCAACAGGGTGCATGAAAGGCTTAAACGAGTACATGTGAAAGAAATTGTTTAATTTAAATCCAAATTACGGATGCGGAGGGAGATGGATCACCATATTATTTTCAAATTGTTTTCCTTGTCAGACCAACTCAGCTATTTATTATCTTGTCAATTGTCTAAAAAATATATACGTTTAATTTCAAGTACGCCACTGTACTCTGAGGACTCCCTCTTGTATATGTGAAAAGAAATGAATGAATTATGTCGTAACCGATCCGAATGTGTCACAGCTAGGATTGTTTTCTGCTTTTATGATTATTATTATTTGTTTGTTGGTTTGTTTGTTTTTACTTCATGATTGGAAGCTTAAAAAAAGATCATGAGGTGGTTTCACTGCACGGTACAGTGACTTTGTTGTTTTTGTGACTTGTTTTTTTTCTCCATGGGAAATACAGATAACCCCCATTTAATGCCCGGGATGCGTTTTTGACTCACCCAGATGAAAATCTGATGTTGGGAGACCAAATGAAAACGTTTTTTAAACATCATTTTTACTTCTGTGACAGACTTTAAACACATTTAAAGTCATTAAAAATACGCTTTTTCATGCCTCTTCTCACTCTCCAGCTGTCAAGAAACAGGGAAACTATCACACAACATCACGTTGACCAAAGGACAATAACAAGACTGTTGCTCACACAGTTCTTCATCTACCAGGCAAAGCGCCCAATAGCTTCATGAGAGCATGAAATTAGCATCGATGGTACAATAATTATAGATATTCAAACAACTGCTACTTTAAGACACTTGCTCTTAATTACACTGCAGCTCGAAATTAGGGCTTCACTGTGTCCTTACAAAGCTATAAGATCACTAATAAATATGCCGGGCCCCCCATCAAGGAACCATGATATGGCAGGGCACATTTTTTTGTGTGGCTTGGTTTGGTGGTGTCCCATGAGATTTTTGTCAATGTAAAATATGCACTTTGACTTCATAAATGAGGGCAAGCCTTGGACTAGATAGGATGACTACAAGCGTTTTTCTATTTTTTTTTCACCATTATAAGGTGATAGACATTTACATCCTGGTGCATGCTACTTGAGTGAGCGTGTGTGTGTACGCAGGCGTGCGTTTCGACAAATAGATTCTAGTCTCTTGTCAATTTCCAGCCATTTTTTTTCACCATTATAAGGTGATAGACATTTATATCCTGGCGCATGCTACTTGAGCGAGCGCGTGCGGGTGTTTGTATGTGCATGCGTGCGTGTCGACAAATAGATTCTAGTCTCTTGTCAATTTCCAGCTGTGGCACACAAAGTGTTTAACTAAAGTGACACCTGAGGAAAAATCAATGGCTAATTTAAGACTGCACTTTTTTCCCCCCTCCAAGTCACGTGTTCGAGATTTGTGTGTGTGTGTGTGTGTTTTTTTTTTTACAACGCTAGCAGTAATAGAAAACACACATATACGCCCTTTTTAAGTTATTATTGCCTTGTGTTAAAGTGTCACCACGGCTAAAAATCCATGACTAATTGAAGGAAGCACCGTTTAATTGCTTTACGCCGATGGAAAAATGAAAGCGGATGTGTAAGTAATGAAAAAGCAACTCTTGCCTTCATTTGTCAGAGTCGGTTGTTTTATTTATTGATTGTGTGCAGTGCACTGGAAGTGGCCTTAACTTGAAACAGTTGATTGGTTCCCTGACCAGCATCATGTCACATGAATACACGCAACTGCTTATTCGGGGGCCCCAGCGGCTCTCCTCAAATTGTTTTCTTTCTTCCCCATTGTTACTCACATAAATTCCTACTGGCTGGCATGGCTCCCGAATTTGAATTTCAGCCCCTGAAACTTTCTCATTTACCAAAATAAAATTTGGTCGGGATGTTTTTCATGTTTTTCATGACTTTTGGTAGCACTTTCCTGAAATGATTAAAAATGCATCCCGCAAATCCTGGATCATTTTTCAGCATCCAGTTTTGCAAACGTGTCTTTCACGGATAGACCCACAAAAAAGTCTCAAGAAGCCATGCCAGAAAACGCATTAAAAGTCTGCCTGGCATTTTGCTTTGAAGTGGCCATTTTAGGGCCGTTTCCACATGTGCTTGTCGAAAATAGTCTGGTAGAAATTTTTTTATTTTTAAATTTGGCCCCCAAAGCCAGTTTCATTTAACAACCTGAAATTTGGTAGGCATGTCTATCATCAGTAAACCCACAAAGAAGTCTGTAGAAACTAAGCCCGGACACAGGAAGTTGACCATTTTTCTTTAAAACAGTCATCTCCAGGTTTCCCTCCGGAGGTTTTTGTCAAATTTCAATCACACATAGTCGATCAAGGTTTCTGAACCTTAATTGAGCCAAGACACATCTTTTGCTTTCGGAAAAATCGTATTGCACGCCATCTAACAAAAAATGTCATAAAATTATGACTTTTCCCTAGAAGAAAAAATCAAGAGATGGGGTCGTTATGGTAAACATAAAGCATCGCGTATGATGTAAAGATGTTGCATTACAGATGCATACATGAAATATGTACAAAGTTTATTGTGGTGTTTCTGAGCATGTGACAAATCCGGCTATCTGGCGAGCGACGTGTTTGCCATTTACGCCGACATATGGCGGACATCCTGCGCCGCTAATATTTGGTGGCCGTCGCCCCGCCCCCCCTGCACCCGGCACTGAGGGGGCAAACAGATGGCTGCTGGGCCTTGAGTCATCACAAAGCCATTAGCCTAGATGCTGGCCCTCGGCCCCCGTTGACGGCCATCGGCCGTCACTCGGCCGTGTTTGCTCACGCTCTTGACGCGGGTCGGGGCCGCGTACTCTGTTTGCTCGTTTTAAATGGCTCCACTGAGGCCTCCAATTGGTCGCCGATTGGCCACAGAAGCACATGTGGAGGCGACAAGTTGGCTCGTGATAGTGATAGTGAGTGTTTGTTGACACAGCATAAAGCTCCAGTGTGTGTGTGTGTGTGTGTGTGTGTGTGTGTGTGTGTGTGTGTGTGTGTGTGTGTGTGTGTGTGCGCGTGTTGCTATATGTGTTGCCAGGGCCCATCACACAGCATCAATCATTCAACACTAATTTAGTGCAACAACACAGGAAGGAATGAGCAAAGTCCTCCAAATCGCAGGTAGGGGGAGCGGCGGGGACCTCCATGACAGCCACTATAAAGGCTTTTATTCTTTTATTCTTCTATTTTGTGAAGCAGAACACTCACTTTAAGATGGAATTCAAAACTAGAAGAACACAGTTTTTTTTTCCCACCTGAAAAGTTGTGATTTAAATGAATCAACATTAAAACATTTTCATCTCTATTTAGTCCTGACAAATTAATTTGTTAGCCATTTTCAAATAAGCAGAGATCAGCCAATTTCATGTGCTATTTTTGCACGTTAACATTACAAAAAAATTCACATCACATCACATAATGTCGAAAATTATGAAACACACAAAATTAAGGTTTACAAGTGGCGACATAATGAAATAACCCAACTGTTTTTAGAGTTTAGCGAGGCATGGTATCACACATTCTGGACACGGCCACATTTGAGATTGGAGAAATTAATTTTTACCATTTTCCAGCATATATGAACTTTTTTTTTTTTTTAATCCATCCATCATCTGAGCCGCTTCTCCCCATCAAGGTCGTGGGCGAGGTGGAGCCTATCCCAGCCGTCTTCGGCCAGTCGGCGAGGTACATCCTGAACTGGTTGCCACCCTGATTCGTAGACTACACTGAGCGCAGAGGTCTAAAATTTCCAAATTTCTAGTTTCCATGACTGCATCGCATTGTGCGTTACAGCCACCTGTTTCGTGTTGGTTTATTTGTGTAAAGAGAGGCAAAGCGTTCTCAGATGACTCTTGCATTGAGGTTTCATCAGGCACTTTATCAAAGCTAATATGCAAATAAAGTATCTCTGGAATGAGAACACTGTATGGGATGACTCCCAACGGCCACACAGGTAATGATGGCATATTTACTTGATGTATATTTTATTTAAAAAAAAAAAAAATCAGTTTGATTCAATTTGTTCTGTATAAAAGTGCCATTAACGTACATTTGTCCCACATGGAGGAAGATATTGCTTCCCAAGGCTGGTATTGCTTCCCATTTTGATTTATTCACACAAAA